CGGTGCAAATTGAAATTAATTGACGAGCGGTTGGACAGAAGAATGATTGAGCTAACGAGGCTTAAATAAATGATTTGAAAGAATTTTTACGAAACTTTTCTATGGCAGTGTGTTTCGAAGTGTTATGAATCATGGACAGTCCCTAAAATTTTAATTTATGACTTAAATAATAATAAAATATTGACAAGAGTTATAATTATTTATTTAATATATTTTATCAGAGACAAAAAACATAAATAAACATTCAAATGTAAAAACACAATAAAATCATTTTCAGGTCTGTTTCGAACTCGAAAGGCTAAAAGTGAGGGGTCGCTTATATTATATTTTATATTTTTTGTTTGCAAGGTTTGCAGGTTTAAAAGAAATAGAAAAATGCTGCTTTATGGTAACAAAGAGGAAAGACCAAGAATAACGTGTATCGCGAAATGATTGAGCGTAGCTCAAATAAATAAAACGCGAGAGTAAATAATAAATAAAAAATATAAAGTACGAGCGAGTAAAGTACGAGAAGATTCTTACACGAAGGTAAGGCACGGCCTTCCGGTAATGCGCTCGTCGCGACACCCCGATGATATCTCTGGAGGACGTCTGGATACGTCTGCAAGGAATATACAGGGATATTCGGGATATGATTTCGTCGTCGATTTTCTGTCGCCGCGTGGGACGACTCGGAGTCGTCTAACCCGGTCGTTATCACGTCATCTCCCGGGATTAGTCAACTGGATTCCGAGGATCGAGAAATTATGCCGCGCACGTTTCGGTAAACTTCGCGAAAAATCCGTTTTCATTTTTTTGGTAAATGGTAGATGGGAGATGGGAGACGGGAATATATTCCTCTTTATTTCGGAATTGAGTGAATCGAGGGAAGACCCGAGAAATCTGGGAGATCATCCCTCACGCCTATCGCGCTAATCCCGCGAATAAACCTTTCTCGGCCGTGGACGTTCGTATATAAGGCAATCTATCGACACCGCGTTCAATCGATCGAAGGCGATCGTCGATGACAATTGATTGGAGCAATTGGTGGCGCGTGACGCATCTTTTTCGCGCGCGTGCTTTTCTTGATTGATTTCTCGAACGATTCCAACTCGAAAAGGAGATCGTCGAGCAGGGACTTTTCGTTTAGAATAGGACCGATTAAGAATGAAATTAAACGCGAAAAGTCTTTCGAGTCTTTGATCTTTTCGTTTGTACTAAGTTTCATTTGTACTAATTTAAATACAAATGTTATATATTTAATATATTTAAATACAAATGTTAACGTTAATATATTTAATGCGCGTGATAATAATTCCTACTGTTCCAAATAAACATCTCATTTACGATAATCCGATAAAATTAAGCGTGTTTATTTAAATAGCAAGATTGAATAATAATTAGATAATTAGATACTAAGTTGGAAACTAAGAACTAAAATTAAATCTTTTAATTAATTTTAATTTACAAACTTTAATTAATTAATTTTTAAAACATTAATTCTTTAACTTTTTTTCTAAGATACAGTCTTTTGTTCTATATTATGATTTTTTAATCGATTTTTAAAATAATCTCATTTAAAAAAATTATGATATTTTAATTAATACTTTTTACATCACTTTTGATTTAATTTTAAACGTTAATTTTTGGCTTTTGACGCGAAATGAGTTAATTTTATAGGCTCTTAACTGTAAACAATTTAAACTCTACAACTTTACCTAAGAAAACTAATTTAATTCCAATTCCAATTAAATACATAAGAGCAACTCTCATACATTAATATTATTTTATTCAATGGACAATAATGTGCTCTTAAGAAATAATTTTAATAGTTATTAATTTTTTGCTTATATAATATTATGTTTTATAAAGGTCCGCGAATGACTACTATATAAAAGATGTCGCAATTACTACCATGTTATTGTTACGACACGCTATTGTCGCTATAATATAATCGCGATATGGCTGCAGCAGCGACGAGTAACGGACGCGATTCGTGTTTCAGACATGTCCCTGTGCCACTTCAAGATCTGCAACATGGGACGTAAGAGGCAATCGAAATAAGTCTCCGTAAAAGGCAGTCGCGCGAGAGGCGGTTTGAAACGGACGGCGGGCGCGGCGAGGAGCTGAGGATCTAGGAGACCTCATTGTGCTTTAAAGAAACATTAAGTAAAAGATCAATAAAATTGGCAGCTTGCCACTGGTCAACTGGAAAAATTTAAGTTAAGAGGGAGATAGCAACGACGAGCGATCGAATTTATTATTAAGTTGTTTTAATCTTCATTCCTCCTCTGAAATATTTTTCTATAAAAAAGAAAAGAAAAGAAACGGAAAAGTATCGAAAATTTGTCACCTTTAAAATCTGTACTCTTGTAAATTTGACTTGTAAATATTTCGGTGTATTTAACAAATACACCGAAATATTTAAGTTAGCCAAGTTAGCCAAGTTATTCGTCGAAAAAACGTAATGAGGAAGAGACGTGCGATTTTCGAAACGAGGGAAACTCAACCCCTTAGTGGATTCTGGAACTTGGTGGTCATCGCTCCTCCTTGCTATCCCTTCGGGACAAATGATCGCCACCAGTATTACACGCCACGTACGCATGTGCACGCACGCCACGGTGGATCTACGTTCGTTACAGCGCGAAAAGTGAATCACGCGAATCGCGAGATGCGCCAATGTGACGACCGCTCGACGAGCGCTTCCATTAACGAACGTCGATCCTCATCAGTCCCCCCGTGGTTTCTCCCAATTTACAATGTCGGGCGTCGGGGCGAGACATGCGCGGCTGCATGCGTAGAGATAAAAAAATATACTGTAACCATAAAAAAAAAAAGGAAGCAAAACATTTGTTCGAAATGTCGAAACCGTCCTCGGCCGCCGGACGAAGGCAGACCGTCCGACTGGTTCGGACGGAGAGGCTACGCGAGCTGGTTCGCCGACTATGGTTCGTCTGGAATATTCGATGGATCAACGACGAGGTACTGTTAAGTGGTGGGTCGCGCGAAAAGGCTACGATAATCTCCCGAGAAGACAACGCGATACATACGATCGGCTGATCGGCTGATTTTTATTAGCGACTGTATTCTCCGTTCTTATAAAATCGCTAAAATGCTAGGAGAGTTAATAAAAATGAGACTCGGATGTCTGGTAGCGGATTGGAATTTTATTATATTTTTACTGTTGTATTATCAAGTGCCAATAGCATCGCGAGTTAATCAGACCTGTGCAATGTATGCACGTTCACATCTCGCGAGAGAAATTTACAAGAAACGGATAACGTGAACTGAATTGAAACGTGTGGCAACGTGTTAATTGTAATTAATTAATGTGTTGAATTTGTTACATGTTAATTCTTTGTAAAGTACACATCGAGAACATGCTGCTGTGATTGACACAATCCGACAATATTGGCGTTCGGTTAATATATAATGATGATAACCTACCGGTATACATATATGCGATATGTTAACGATTATCGAAAAGTTATATTGATCAGCCTTTATCTCGGTTATAATAACATTTTTCAATTGTATAAAATTGAAAAATACCGATATGCAATTGGCATTTTTCAATAGCGTTTTTATTATTTTATTGAATATTTATTTTCCAAATAATTGTTGCGTGTAAACAACTGAGTTCCAGAAAAATTATTAGTTATTCATACGATACGTTATAGCTATGACAAATGTTGAGCAATCTTATATTATTACAAAAACATTTCGTGGAGGCGCGTGGAAATGAGAATCCTTTCCAAGATTACAGATAATATTGGAAGCTCGATAGATGGATATTAAAAATGTAACGAGGGATTCCAATATTCCAAGATAATACTATCTTCTCTCTTATATCGAATCCGATCTGACTTATAAAAAAGTGAAGATAAAAAAGTAAGATAGGAAAAAAATCTTTAAAGATTCCAACCGATCGTTGATTGCAATTTAATTATGCACGTGGGATTACGAGACACATATGTTCTGTAATAAAAAAAAAAAAGAAAAAAAAAAACAGCCAAATACGAACTAATAATTTATTAATCTTCGATTATATTTTGAGGCATGTTTCGATCGCGATATCAATCGGGTATCTGGAATCCCTGGTGAATTCAACAAGGAATACAGGCAACAAGAGAAACATATATGGTCAAGGAAACATATATGGTCATCGCATGATGAACTTTGAAATTACAGCTAAATTTCCGGATTTAAGAGATAAGTATTTGATGTAACGACGGAATATTTTACAAGAGGAAAATATACGAGAAATGTACAAAATTACGAAGGACAATATATAAACTTGTTTTTATGAAACGGAAAAAGAAAAGGCAAACGAGAACAGTATCGCTTGGATTTTACACAAATAACCAATTAAATCGAATAATGCGTAAAGATTGAAATCTGTTTAATAATACCTCGTCGATGATAAAAAACAGAAATAATTTGATAGTTTCCTTCTTCTTGTAAAATCATGTCGACTGTTTAGAGGAATGGTGCCAATTAAATAATTGCATATTTTTATTTAAATAAGCATAACGATTGAACGATTGAGTAAAACGATTATTTTCGGCGAGAAAGTAGCAGTGTATATTGTTGTAACAGCAGAAAGTTATTTGAGAAAATTTATGAAGTTCAAAAATAAATGTTATATATGTCGAAAGTGAGTGATTTGTATATTTATCAAATATTGAAATATTCCTAAAATTTTAATCATATATTTAATCATTAGTCCCAAACTTTCTCTCCTTATCACAACTTGAGCATTAAACGTGACTGATCACTCTGCTTGATAATATCTGAATGATAACAAGAATAAAAGTAATTCAACAAAAAAATAAAAAAAAGAAAACAGAAAGAGATTAACAAATATAGTGAGCTTCCAAATAACATCTCTAACTTGGAAATAAAATATTGAAATCTTTCAAATTATACTTTTGCGCAGAATAATAAATTTTATTCCTCGACAAATTATTTTCATAAATAATTTGAATTTCTGTGAAAAAATTTTACCGAGCTCTCTTGATTCTTTGAAAGAACAATGAAAGCAAAAGAACGTTCAAGATTTCTGCTGTGCCGTATGACGATATACAGACATTTATACATTTATTAATCGATGTGGAAGAAAAGGAAGAACTTGACCAACTGTGCGTCAATTATTTAATCGACACCAATCGAACCGTTTTCACGATCGCGCCTAACAAGTCGAATAAGCGTAACAACGAGAGACAAGGTTTATTCGACATAAATCAAAAAGGGAGAAAGAAGAAGAAGAAGAAGAAATCAATTTATGAAGAAAAGGTTCTCCTCCTCGCTCGCGTCACGCAGGACGCTCTTGCGACATAAAGAAATTTTATTTAGCACTAACGAACCGCGCACCAAGAGGTCCGTTCTTTTTAACTGAATTTCTCGCACGAGTCATCCTTTCTCTTCTTTTCTCCAACACGAAAGGAAAAAGAGGAAAAAAAAATCGGGTAAGAAAGTTCAGCTAAAAAGAACAGGCCTAAGGTTTCGTGAGGAAAGTAAGTGACAAAGGAACGAAAGATCGCGACATTTCTCACGGCGCAACATGCGGGCTCCAGAGAAAAATAGGAGATCGTAGGCAATAATTAAAAAAAAAAAAAAAAAAGGAACCGACCTCGATCGGCGCGCGATCCAAGTCAGAATTTCGAAAGAATATCGACACGGCCTCGTCTATATATTTATTATTGTGCTTTATTATTGCCATTATTGTTACTATTTCTTAATTGAGTTAAGCTGAAGAAACGCGGGAGCCGAATTCTTCTACGAGACCCTTTACATCTTTCGCAGTATGTCGATATCTCATTATAATTCGTCGTTAATAATAAATCTCGAGAATATCTCGCGGAAAATTTCTCATAGCGAAGGAGGGCATCCCGCGTTCCTTCGTTATTTATGAATCGTCGAACCGGACCGTTTCTTCGAAAGAAACGAACCCGCTTCTTATTTATTTAACTAATGCTAATATTTCGTAGTATTAATGAACAGCTTTATGGTATTATGATCCTTCTCTGTTTCTTTTCCTCTCTCTCTCTCGCTCTCTCTCTCTCTCTCTCTACGTCTCTCCTCTCTACGTACGTACTACTACGTACTCCGTCGTTACGTACGTACGTACGTACTACGTACTACTACTACTATTATTATATATATATATATATATATATTTTTTTCTCTCTCTCTCTCTCTCTCTCTCTCTCTCTCTCTCTCTCTCTCTCTCTCTCTCTCTCTCTCTCTCTCTCTCTCTCTCTCTCTCTCTCTCTCTGTCCCTATTCCCCCTTGTAAATTAATCGATCATTTTGCTTCTAATTACTAATCTGTCGATGCTTCCTTTTCTCTCACTTTGCATGTCGATTGAGCGCACCGATTCTGCGGATCCGATTCGTTCTAGAAAGAAACAAAAAATAAAAGTAAAAAGAAAAAATTCGGGAATATCCCGTTATGACGCGCGAATCGGCGCATGTACCTCACGCAAATAATGCTAACGATAATAAATTGTATCATCAGAATTTTCTTGTTTATTTATCCCGACGCTACGCTCCGTGGAAATTTGTTCAAGATTATTTTCCTTCGTGTTACATTTGTTTAAATGACACTTTGCTACAAAAGAGATAAAATTGTTCACTTTAAAGAAACGTTTTTTTTTTCGATTTTTATACAAACTAGATAAAGGCAGTGAATTCGTAATACTTTGCGGCGAAAACCGATCGCGGCTTAAAATACATGTATTTATTTCAGGTATCTTAAATGTAATCGTTTTTAATTAATTTTTTATATTAAAGTTAATGTCTTAATGATCGTGAATTTCGCGATAATGTTAGGTAAAATTGGCATTTTTGAGAATGACATTTGAAAAAGAGGCACCTAAATTCTGAAGAATTGAAGCGTAAGCGAATCGGAAAGTGCATCGTTGCGCCATCTACAACAACACATGGAAGTAGAATGAAAGATAAAAGGTAAACATGTGGATGATGAATACATATGACTATTTCATCGATGGAAATATCCATGATTTTACAATCTTCTAAAATTCATGAAGAATATATAAAAATATTATCATATATATCTTACACATAAAATATATATAATTCAGCAATATTTATTTTTATGCTCTACTTAACTAATTCACATAACAAATAGAAAGGAATAAATCTCGGCAGGCAGAATATTAAACGCTTAATAATCTTTCATCAATTTTTTTAATTTATATATATATATATATATATATATAAATAAAGATAAGTGCTTACATCGCCAATCACGTCCTATTATTTTAAACAAACTTACAACACAACTCAAAGCAGAGTTAAATTTTCTTTTTTAATAAATCGATAATCAAATACGATATTTTTATACGATTATTTTATACGAATAATATGAAATTTAATAATGTAAAATAATTTAGGACATGATTCAAAAATCGCGAAATTTATAATTTAGAATAATAAAGAATAGTATAAAAATTTGTAAATTGGCGGTAAAATTGCGTTTTGTCAAGTTAGGCAACAAGTTATGAAACCATCGTAAAGAAACTAGAATACTAAATATGGAAAACTTGAAGACAATATTATTCCCTGGACATAGAAGATAACCTCGATTGATGTTTCTGCACGCTGCGTCGTTTCTTCGAAACGTTTATGACTTTGTTCATAAAAATCTATAAATGACAAGCGATAAATACTTACCGAAAGAAAATATCGTTTTTACATCGCTTTGTGAAGAGGACGGTCACATACGGCACAATTAAATTATAAATATGGCATAAAATGTATATTTACACGACAAATTTGACAATGGCCTCGCGCGGTCTATTTTCTAATTTCGTGTGGTGGTTGCACTGGATTGTTTTCTAATGAAAACAATCTCTGGCTGTATATACATTTATATATATAATTTTCTGAAAAATCTTATCATCTTATTATCGGAAGACCTGATTAAATGTAAGATAATTTCATGCAATTCCAATAACAACAAACTATTTGAACATGAGATTGATTACAAGACAAAGAAATTTCTAGAGATTTAAAAATTGTCCATTTTATAGCCAGCCAACACGTTGAAAATATTTGTCGCGTGACAAACGAAATATTAATCTTATGTCCTATTATTATTGTAAATTAACTTCAGACTATTCTTTTTAGCTGATGAATTTTTTGCGCAGTTCATCTTTCCTCTTGTTCTTTCCATGTTCTTTCCAGGAGAAGAAAAGAAACAAGCTAAACTGTGCGAGAAGTTCAATTAAAGAAAAAAAGGGGGTTTTTTAATCCCGATTTAATATTACTTTCATCTTCTTCAAGTTATAAGAATTATGAAAAGACAAAAGATAAATTAAATTAAAATTAAGAATTAAGCTACATTAGTAAAAATAGATATTAGAGAGTAAAATAAAATCTAAACCCTCTGATAATTCCCCCCGCGAGAGACGTCGGGGCACGTTCACAATCAAATCGAGCGCAACCAATCGCGCAATGAATGGACGGGGACCAACCCGCGATACGCGTGAACGTGGCCGTGTTCGGGATGGGCGCGACGCGACGCGACGCGAGAAATGAAAGAGGCGAACACTCCCTACGGAGTGCTGCATGCGCGTCGGTGCGTTCGTTTGATGGATTGCCATTTATGGTGATCCCGAGTGAGACGACGAAGGGAAGATCAACCAAACATCACGCCTGTGATGCTGTAGATTAACACGAGGGAGAAAAAAAGGAAAAGGAGGAAAGACGCTCCGTCTCGCGCAAATAAGTAAGCACGAGTAGCCCGCTTCTCTTTCTCTTACTTCCTCTCGACATTACGGCACGTATTTTCGTGGCTTATCATCGGCTTCAGTTGCACGCGCGGGCTCCCTCGGTGTGTGATGATGCTCGGCAAATATAAAGATGACGGCATCGCCACCGTATGAATAAGCCGCTGTGCTCGCGCGGATTATACACTAAGCGATCCCTGGCAGATATCGTGATATTATTGCTTCGCGTCGAGAGACGGTCCCCCAAAGATGGGAACGAAATCGTACGTAATCTAAGACGCGCTGTCCTGTCAGTTTATCGAAAGAATTTTTTTATCAGATAAGCTTTTCTTATTGCTTCCATCCGTCCAATTGTCTTTTCCTATTTTAACATTATGTTGTAACCGTTCTATCTTTAGCTTAAATTTCTCACCCTCTCTTTAATTTTTTAATTATTTGTTCATGTTTAAATCAAAAGATTTACTGGCTTACGTGTGTACTACTTGCAGAATGTTCGGCAGCTCAAGATGGATTCTCGTATTGGGAATGCTAGTGGTGATTTTGTTGGTCTCGTTCGTGCAGGCAAATTATCCTCCTCCGGAAAGATTGACTGGCATGAATCCTTGTATCAGTAAACAGACATGTCACGAATGCATACAAACTCCGCACTGTGCTTGGTGCGCAGCACCAGTAAGTATTTATATCGAGTTAATCAAATTTTTATTTTTTCTCTTTACGTTTAGCACTTACATTGTGCTAACAAGTTCACAACGTAATTGACATTAACATGACATTTGATGTTTAGTCAATAGAGTCTAAAGTGATGTTGTTTCTATAGAAATTTCCAGAGAAGAGGTGCTTCCTTCCAAACATCAATACCAAAATATTGTCAATATGTCCTCCCGAATATACATGGAATCCGGACAACGTTTTCAGCATGCTGCGACATCGAAATTTAACAAAGGGAGGTTATGCTGTTGGTGGTGCAGGAGGCGGAGGATACGGTAGTATCGAGAGTTCGTACTCCAATTTTTCGTCTTCCAGTTCGTCTTCGTCGCATTCTTACAAAGAGAGTTGGGGGAGCAGTGGTGGGAGCAGAAGGCAGGAGGCCGTGCAAATGTGGCCACAAGAAGTTAATCTGAAACTTAGAATAAGTAAGTTGTTATATCGTCGATATATGAGTACCTAATTAGAATGGTGAATATTTTATTTTGTTGATACAATAAAATTGATACAATAAATTTGTTTCAGACGAAGCTTTTAGAATGTCCTTTGCTTATTCTCAAGCGGAGGATTATCCCGTTGATCTCTATTATCTTATGGATCTGAGCAAATCCATGGAGGATGACAAAAAGAAGTTGTCTGACTTGGGTCAATTGTTAGTCGAGAGTATGAGCAAGATTACGAGCAATTTTCGTTTAGGTTTCGGTAGTTTCGTCGACAAAGTCGTAATGCCGTATGTCAATACAGTACCAAAATCGTAAGTCTCAAGAGAAGTCCAGTATATAATACTGTCACAGATGTTCCAATATTCATTTGCTTATTTTTAATCTCAGTCTTATCGAACCGTGTGATCGTTGCGCATCGCCCTATGGATACAGGAATATCATGAGGCTTTCGCAAGACACAAGCAAATTTGCGGTACAGAAATATTCATAGATGAACATAAATAACAAATTTCAAATTAAACATAGATCTAATTAATAAAATTAATTAAAATTATACAGGTGTAATTTAAGATCAATTTTTTATATTTCTTTAGAAATTTTAGAATTGTTACAAATTTAGAAAGATTTGTTTTTGTAACATCAATTGAAGAATGATTGAAAAAAATCGAAAATCTTATTCTCTATCTTTTCTTTAGAGAAATGTATTTACAGGGTTTAGTACGTAACGCATCTGTATCTGGCAACTTGGATGCGCCAGAGGGTGGTTTCGATGCAATTATGCAAGCGATAGTTTGCCGGAATCAAATCGGTTGGCGTGAAAAAGCACGCCGACTGTTAGTATTCTCAACAGACGCTGGTTTTCATTATGCAGGCGATGGCAAACTGGGCGGTATCATCAAACCAAACGATGGTCTTTGCCACCTAGATGCTAGTGGAACGTATACACATTCGTCTCTGCAGGATTATCCAAGCATCTCGCAAATTAATCTAAAGGTGAAACAGAATGCGATAAATATCATATGGGCAGTGACTGAAGAGCAAATCAACGTCTACAAGAGATTGATGAAACATGTGGAAGGTTCTTTCGCTGGCAAACTCTCAGACGATTCCAGCAACGTTGTGGAATTGATTCGCGAGCAATACGATGCTATATCAAGTTCGGTGGAGATGAAGGACACAGCCAGCAGCGCAATAAAAGTAAAATACTTCTCAAGCTGTCTGGGTTCTGGTTCACTGATCGAGACGTCAAAATGCGACGGATTGAAAGTCGGCACAAAAGTGGAATTCATCGCAGAGATTGAGGTCACAAGCTGTCCAGCCAATAGATCAGAATGGAAGCAGAAGTTTGACATTTATCCGGTAAGCCGAATCGTTGCGCAAATTAAATCGGCCAACTAGAAGTTAGTTTTTATTTACCTTTTTATATTAAAATTTTTTTCTATTTTTGTATTTTTAATCGCGCGACACTTTTTTCAGGTCGGTATCAACGAGACTCTTACGGTGAATCTGGAGATGCTGTGCGATTGCGAATGCGAGCGCGAAGGCCATATGTACGAGGAGAAGTCACCCGAGTGTAATGGTGTGGGCACACTCAAATGCGGCGTTTGCGAATGCTACGATGGATTTTTCGGCAAACGTTGCGAGTGCAGCCCGCATCAGGAGTTGACCGGCTTCGACAAGCATTTTCAGTCGTGCCGTCCCGACAATACCACCCTCGTTGATTGCTCCGGCCGTGGTACGTGCGCCTGTGGCCAGTGCGAGTGTGAGGAGCGAGAGAATCCAGATGAGGTATTTCTTATATTCACCACAGAATCATTAAAGTCTTGTACGAATATTTTTCTTTTATTAATCTGCATTTATTTTATTAATTCTCTCTATATAATTGTATAACAGACAAATGAAATAGAATTGATACTAAAGTGTAATTATTCTTATTACAATGATATTCACACAGTGATTTCTCACGACTTCATGTATCTTACAGATAATATCGGGGCATTTTTGCGAATGCGACAACTTCTCCTGCGATCGCGATCAGGGTAAGCTCTGTTCCGATCATGGCACTTGCGAATGTGGTCAGTGCGTCTGTAACTCTGGTTGGACTGGGCCGTCCTGCAACTGCAGATCTTCTAACGATTCTTGCATCGCGCCGGGAACCACAAACGGCATACTCTGCTCGGGCCATGTAAATATAATAATAATAACATAAAAAATCATAGTCATACAGCTATTATAATAATTAAAGAAATTAATTCTACAATTATTATTAAATTTAAGAATATTACAAAAGTTAGAAGTTAGTTTTTTTTTTATCTCGTCTATTTCTTTTCATAAAGGGTGACTGCATTTGTGGAGAGTGCATTTGTCACGAAGAGGGCAACATTCGATATTCTGGCAAACATTGCAATAAATGCCCGACCTGCCCAAGTCGCTGCGAAGAGCTGAAGCCCTGCGTTCAATGCCAGATGTACGGAACTGGAAACTACAGTGATCCGGAGGAATGTGCAAGGAATTGCAAAGAATTTGTGCCCGAAGGCGTGGAGACGGTGATTGTCGATGTGGACAACGACGAGGTGCCATGTTTCGGCACGGATGAAGACGATTGCAAATATAACTTCGTCTATTACTATAATGAGACCAATTGCCTGCAAGTGCGCGCTCAGAACGAACGCGAATGCCCGCCGCAAGTTTACATGCTCGGCATCGTACTAGGCGTAATCGCGGCAGTGGTCTTGATCGGTCTCGCATTATTGCTGCTGTGGAAGCTGTTAACGACCATACACGATAGACGAGAATTCGCTCGATTCGAAAAGGAGAGAATGATGGCCAAGTGGGACACGGTACAATTCATATTTTTTTATCCTATAGATCACAATTGAGATTTTAACAATTAAACTTTGATCTTATATCAATTTGTATTGCAAATAAAAAATGACAAGTAGAATTTTATTGTAAGATTTATTATATATTAATTATTTTTTAATAATGCACATCTTTCTGTTTTATTTTACAGGGAGAGAACCCGATCTACAAACAGGCGACTTCTACGTTTAAGAATCCAACTTATGCTGGAAAATAACATGTCTCGAAATGGAGAAGAATATAATGTGAGATTTTTAAAAAAGAATCGTATCGTCATTGCAACGTGATGCGATTTCAAATCATTCGCGCAATTACGAATGCCGACCGTGGTTTAGGTACTTCGTCTCGAACTCAGCAAGATAATTTGAATTACACGAAGGCTTCAACGACATAATGAGATCTAAAGCTAACTTTTTAGCACAATAATTTAAAGGAACTAATATTTAAAATATATATATATGGTATACTCTATTTTTTGTTGAAATATTTGTAAAAAAACGACTTAATACTGCCATATAATAACACAGACTGTATTACAGATGCGTGAGTAGAGATGCGCGGGTCCAAAACGCGCTATTTGTTTACAAAGTCGTAATATTGCATTTTATTGCGATCACGTTTTAAGAATCACGCTGGCTAGGCTAATTCTGATATTCAAGTGCCTTTAATATCACTATCATGGTGCGCTTGTATTAACTCTTGGTTTTATTTTATATATATATATTTTTTTTTTACTGTATTTATAATATATATCAGATATAATTTGATGTGCAAAACATTTTGGAATAAATTTTGAATTAATAGGGCAGAAAAGAGAAGTCCGATAAATATATAAATATATCATCTTATCCTAGCTATTTTTCATATGCGATATGTATATATTTATTTTTATATTAAAATTAGCTCTTGTTGTCATTCTTGGAAGTGATAAAAAGAGATAAATTAAAATTACAAATTATTGTAATTTTAAATGCTACGTAATGGTTTTTTTCAATAAAGTAAATTGAAATGACTCAGGAGGTATCGCGAACGATGTTATTAGCAAAAAGAATTGTGTTTTTATAAGCATTTTAATACAATCGATTATAACTCAGAAATTGTTGAAACGCAAAAGTAATCATATTTCCGAATCAAAGCAAAAAAGACTGCATATGAATTTTTCATTTCTTCTCCCTTACTGGATCTATTCCAAAATGTGTCGCGCATATTAAATTGTACCATATGCTATATTTGCGATAAATATGAAGAAACATATCTTTTTTTTTATCAGATATGAATGATTATCGAAAATTTTCTACTATATGTTTACCAGTGCAATTTATAAAATATATGTCACACAGCGAAATTCGATGAATTTGCATGTGCTTGCGATTTTTTCGTCACGTAATGTCATATAATCATTTTAATCGTTAGTGTATTTTTGCGCAACTAAAGAGACTCGAAAGTGTTTATAGGAAATTGTATAAATGTATAAAGTACTGCCCGATCCGAGTAGAAATAAGTTACTCCGTGTTATAACGTTAGTCCGACGATGATAACTGCACGATTATGACTCGTATTATTTCGTAAATATATAAAAAGATATATGTACACATATAAACACAAGATGTTCTCGAAAATGTCAATGCCTTACGCGGTGAATCTGCAGCCTAGTGCGAGAAAAAATGTTAAAGATCGATATTCATAATCTATTCAAGACTGTCTTAAATATAGTCTTATCTTAAGATATTATAAACCAATCGCAGGGCCGTTTCAATATCTTAAGACGTTATAAATAAATTCAATAAATTACTTTTTAAAATAAGAATGGATTATGAATTTCGGTCCGAAAAAACTTTATTTTCTGACTCATAATAAATTAAAGAAGATCTTCCAAGCGTCCTATTTCCGTAATAAGTTTTTATTTCTCTTTCGAAGATAAACGGGAGAAGAGAGTTGGAATATTTCAGAACTCAAATTTCCCAAAAAGTCGAAAAAATCAAAATTAGATTTTCCGACAGCAATCTGATTTCAATTTAAAGTTCGCGCTTTTAAGAAAGAAAACTGAACTAAAACTAAAGTTAATTTTGAGTGTTTAAGGGCAACGATATTGATACAAATTCAAACGTGTTTCGATTAATCTTTTGTCTGATCAAAAGAGAAATAATCAAATTGGTGTAAGGATAACAGACTTTGTATGAAATTAGTTAAACAGAGAAGGCTTAAATGTACTCATAATAGTATATAATTTTGTTGCGAGAACTAACAATATAATTAAAAAAAAAAAATATATATATATATATATATATATATGATAGAAAGT